CTGTAGTAGCATAAGGCTAAAAAAAAAAAAAAAAAAAACCCAAAATGACAACCCTCTTTCTTCAGCATTGAACAGTGAAGAGCAATCATACTGTACTTCTAGAAAAAGCATTGGTCCCCAAGTCTTTTTTCAGAAAATTATGCCTGGACTCCATTCACTTTTTTTGTTCCCCAGTGGTTAAACCCTCCTCTTTCTCAAGCATTGCACACACATTTAAGTGTTCTGAATTCTTTTCCCTGCCCGCTTTTAGCCATCTCCTTTGATCATAGGTCCCATTTCCCAACTGGATTTTGATTGTCTTTGTGTCCTCCTAGGATTCACAGACATTTTTTCCCCCAGATGGCGAGGATCCATGGCGGTTCCAGACCAAAGCCATCTTAAACTGACTGGCTTATGTCTTGTCTTGGTATATAAATATACATATCTAGGGTTTGAAAGTGTTAAAAAAAAGGACAGATTGGTTTTGAAGTTAAAAGGACAAAAATGGGGCTATATTACATAAATTTGCAAGTATAAAAAAAAGGGACTATGGAGTTTGGAAGACCCCATAATTCCCTTTTAAAAGTTTTTCAGGTGTGGGGAAACAGGGAGGGGGTGGGAAGGGCATGAGATCTCCGTATGGTCATCCTAGCTTAGCTACCTGTCTGTGACTGTCCATGTTGTATTTGTGTGTTTTAACAACTGGTTTACACTGACTGTTGCTGTAAAAGTGGATTTGGAAATAAAAAGTCATTACTACAATATTAAACGCATTGTCTTTGTTGAAAAAAACCTCCCAGAGAGAAGCAGGGGCAAACCTCTTCCGAACTGCCACCAAGATTACACTGAGCTCCCAGACTCAGTGTAGTCACCAGGAATTAAGCCTGACTCAAAGGCAACTTTCCTTTTACTTTTGTTAAAAGGATGGGACAGTGCTCAAGCCATTCCAATCACAGCTAGTTACAGTACTGTGATTGTTTTTCCACCTTCCATCCCTTGCAGCATTAACTCGCCCATTCCATAGATGGCACTCACTTTCATTAAGCTGTTTTACCTACCATAAAAAGTAAACAACACTTCTCAAAATCCCTGCTAAATCATGAGATCATCTATCTGAAAAAGACACTATAAGTTATTAAAACTCATTTAAAGATTTTTACAATCCAAAAGTGAAAACCACTGCATTCTCTCTAAATATCTTACGTACTTATTTTCTACAGGTATTCTCCCCATATTATTCCCCAAAGAAATGTAGCACTTTCCTTAACTTTTAAATTTTTTTAATCTTTTTTTTTTTTTTTTATAAGCACACACTGGTGCTTTGGCCAACAGAATCAAGACATTAAACAAAGATCAGCTTCTCTGAAGAAAAGCGTTTCTATATAACAAGGACATTACACAGCTTGAAGCAGGAAAAGAAATATTTACAAAATACAAGGTGGGTTTTATTTTTCTTTTTTGTAGATTTTTTCCTTTATAACGCTAAGATGGTTATTCAGAATTTTCAACCTTATAAATAGAAAAGCACTTAATGCAGAGGGATATAGTAGCATTGGGTTTTTCCTTTTTAAAAAAAAAAAACTAGAACAGAACCAAAAACTTTAGGTAATGTTGAAAATTGTGAAAAAACCCCAACCATTAAGCAGTTTAGCTACTATTTTGTTACGATTACAAAATGAGAAAAAAAGGTGTTTTTTTTTTTTCCTTTTTTGGTGAAGTGATTAATACAGAAGACAGGCGCAATGCTTAACAACAGGACAGGGACCAACAGCCACACCGCTAAGGTCAGGAAAACGTTACAATGGATCGGTGTGCAGAATCTGGGAGTTACCAGGGATGGGAAGTGAGGGCAGTGGCCTCTTTAAATTAGAATAAATTCAGATCAGTTCAGCTTGGCAAGAGTCAGCCCAAGCCATTTTCAGGAAAGAAAACAGGACTGAGAAGATTGATTTCCAATAACTTGTAAGCTGAAGTGGAGTTAAGTAAGAGGTAGTGGTGAAAAATAACATCCAATCTTTCTCTGGAAAAAACAAGTATTTTGGTACTCAGACATACATTAAAATTTAAGATGCAATCTCAAGCAATGCATAGACTACTTTTTTTTTTTTTTTAATAGAGGGTGGAAGAAAAGGAACAATGAGATTATACCACACTCACAATATGGCTTGTGGATCTGGGGTGGCAAATTGTTGAATCCTGTGACATCGCTCCCAGTACTTAAGGCTCAACACTACTGTATTGCAATCTATTAACTGCAGACATATAATCTACAGCTTTCAAACTAATGGACAGAATGCAAAATTAAAAGGAAACACAGAACTGTTAGTAATTAACAGGGAAAGAGAAGAGAGTAACCCTAGATCACATCCAGCAAAGAAAATGCATGAAAAAAACCAGTTCCTCTTGAAATGAATGGTTGTAGCCTTCTCCCCACTACTAATCTGCCATTAAAAAACGAAACACAATACAATATGAATAAAACTTATCCAAAACATATCCAGGCTGATTATGGAAAATTGCTTTTTCTCACACAACTGAACTTCCTGTTTAACATGGAGAGACGGTCTCGGAAGCAGCAGAGAACCCCAGAACAGATCAAGGTCATTGGAGAAGAGCTTCTTGTTGCTCGCAATGGGAAGCCATCCCTTAAGGAACCAAGTGATCTTGAGAGTTTG